GATTCATGATGTATATTTAATACAAAACAGAATTACATTAAATCATTGTGCTTGGACGGTATTTATCCAATTCTACATGTTTTACGTATGCGTTTTATTTTTCCGGGGCTAACAACTTGGGAATTTCTCAGAACCGAACGACATTTTGAATTATAATTGACTTAACAAAGCTTGACATTGGAGATTTATTATCTCAAGAAAAAAAAAAACAACGTTACATTACTCTACCCTCTATCCAAGACAAAACATGACTCTCAGAAATTCTTAGAATGATTTCACATTGACGGTAGAAAAAAGATCACTGATCAGAATCAGAATCTTTTTTTTTTCAAGCACACAAGTTTATAAAAAAGATCAGGCACTAAACATTATTCTCTCAAAGAAATATAAAGAGCATTTATCAACATAAACATCAATGAAACAACATTTTCTCATATTTATTGGCGTCCGCGCCGAAGCGCGGCGCCTATTGGAATGAAATGAGATTTTGTGAAAGGGCGACAGCAACTTCTCGAGCCTTTTATAGTTGCCAATAATAAAAGCCGATCATTCCGATCGGTATGAGGGTGCTTGATTGTTAATTAGTCGCGATATGTACAATGAATGGCGAACTAGAGAATTTCGCAATGCAAACATTTTCAAATGAAATAACCTTTTCCGTCAATAAATCGCGCTCTTCGGGGTATTTTTGCTTATCATTTTGTAGTACACAGTGGGTTATTATGGTATGTTATTCCTAAAGCTGTTAATAGAATGATGAGTTGATGACCTTAATATTCCGAAAATCTATTTATAGAGGGATGTACTCCTAGGTAATTCCCGGTCTCTCCCGGGATTTACTAATGACCGGCGAATAGTACCACAATTGTCCGGTCTCTCCCGGTTTTGGAGTAGATATCGTTACAGAACAGAACAAATATTTTACAGATAAATAAGCTTTTTTTCAAAATGAATGTTTGTCACTTAGTTTGGTTACAATAATCAGGGTCTTTCAAATAGAAATATTTGAAAGACCCTGCAATAATTAATAAACACAGATCAACTCTCGAATTGATTGATTATTATTATACATAAACATACAATTCGAAAAAAAAAACCAACAACACAAATCGCATGTTATATTTTATCTATATGAGATAAAAACAATAAATATGTACAATATGTACAATAATTGAGAAAAAATGTACATTTTTATGGCATTAATATGACACTATCAACTTTAAAACATTTTATATAATTTGTTATTCGTGTTTAGTAAAGATTCCGAGGAATTATTCAAAGTTACAAATCAGATTTTATGATTTATTCAATTGATTGATAATTTAAAAAATGATAAAGAAAAATACAAATGTACATGTATATGGTTTAAGAATAAACAATATTATAAATTGAAAGATTAACCATGATTTACTGACTTTTTCCAGTTAAGTTTTGACTTATAATCGTCGATCATTATGACAATTGAATTCTTAAAATAGTAGTAAACGTAAAAACATTATTAAAATAGCGCATAAAACACACACAAAAAAAGAAAAGAAAACAATATTCATAAAATCTGTATTTTTTTTTTTTATTAAAATAGAAATTACATTTATTGTATAATAAACAATTATGCTCAACATGATCAACATGGTAATATAACAAGTGTCATATTGTTACTTAGTGTGAACAGATACCTTAAGAGGGGGTCCTCGTTAATAGCAATAACATAATAAGGGACAATTACACAAGTATGGTGTTGATCATGCGTTACACATATGGATTATAAATGATTGTATACATGTATATCCGTTGCTATTAATAACCACGATCATAAAGAAGTAACAAGTAATATTCTAATTTCTAGCATGCCAATCAAAGTTATAAATAATGAACAATGTCTTTCGTCCGTTCATTCAAAAGTGATATACAATTCTGGTAAAACCCAATGAACCATTGAAAAGTTTATAAGAATATCTTGTCATCATATATCTACTAGTTCATCTGCACGTGCCGTTTGGACGCCCTTTGATGCTTTGCATCAATGCTTTTCTTGTTTTGTGTCTTGTTTTGTAAGTTAATCGGAGGGTTAAACTGAATGACAGGTATTTGTTTACATTGATAACTGTCCGTTTCTTAGAAAGGGCGACAACCAAGATTAGCAGTGCTCAATGTCTATACGCCGTATTTCCGGCATAGTTACTTGAATGTTGCTCGACGTATTTAATGCGATAGAGGCCTTCGAATCAATAATTCAATATAACAAGAGCGTGTGACTCTTTGACAAACAGGCCAAATCGTATTTTTTATGTTTGTTTACTGGGCCCTGTATGTATTGCGCATATGTGTTAACACATGGTTTTGGTCCCGTTGAAACATGGGCAAAATAGGGAAAAATAGTCGATTTTATGCTATAATTCGCGTTATAACGTCTTTTGATTCGAGTAATAACGCTTTTTGATCTGCGTTTTGACGCCTTTTGATTCGCGTAAATACACTTTAATTTGCATTATAAGCCTATATTTGCGTAAAAACGCCTTTTGATTGGCTTCTATGCGCTCTTTGGTTCGCGTGACTGTGCCTTTTTTCGCGTGACTACGCCTTTTGTTTCGCGCTATAACGCCTTACCAATATTGTATTTTATTTCATTTGGTACTATTAGGCTTTCGTAGTAATTTTTAGAAACGGTTGGTAATTTTAACTACTGAGTATGATTGCAACTTTACTTTAAACCAGGAACATTTAATTAGCAAAACTCTTAAGGCAATAAATATATTACTATATAATTGTAAAATTTATGGTGTAAAACCTAATAAATTTCAATTGCTTTTCTATCTTATATGACTCTGTCGAAGTATGGAGTAATTCTAAATCTTAAGAAATTTAACGAAGGTCTGTTCTGTTTACTATAAAAGTCGCCTGGCTATGTTCCAATATCCGTGAAGTGCACATAAGTCACGAAACAAAATAAAAATAACACCACTTGGTATGTGGTTTTCAAATGAACAAATAATTTCCTATTTACATCCACCCCTTTGCAAGGAAGATTAGTCATCTAACTTATTTCAAGTGGTTGAAGTTTTTGTACATGAAAAGGAAAAGAAATTTTGATAAATGTTTCATTATTTGCCAAGTAACAGATATCATAATGTAAAATTTTGTATGTTTCTTTATCGAAGGTCGCACGAAATATAATAAAAATAACTAAGAAAATATTTATTACAAGGTACGTTTAGTTTTATATTTTTAAGATATGACGTCTTTATAAATGGATACTGGTATATGTTTTACGGTCAGCTTTAGAATGCTAGTATATGCTTTATGGTAAAATGTAGTATATGAATTTAAAGCATTTGTCAGGTTATTATTAAAAAGAAAATATTACTACAGTATATTTTTACCTCACCAGAAGGTGAGCTATAAGTATCGAAGGGAGATGCTCCGTCGTCCGTCGTCATGTGTCAATTTTCATCTTCTTCTCTGCAACTGCTGGGCAGATTTACCTCAGATTTGGTCTGTAGCATCTTTGTGACAGTCACACTTTAATTTCCTTCTATCATTTCAATCGGCCTTTTTAGAGCTAGAAATAGAAAAAAAAACTTGAAACATTTTTTTCTACTGAACTAATTCATGGATAATAAACAAATTTTGTCTGTAGCATTTTAAGATGGTCTGTTATCAAATTTGTACATATTAGTTTTTGTCCCATTTTAGGGGCCTCTAGAGCAAGAATATAAAAACCTTTTAACATCTTCGTCTACAGAACAAATTGATGGATGATCACTAAATTTGTCTGTAGTTTTAAGTAGTATTTTATCAACTTTTCTCATATTAATTTGAGTCGCTTCTTTAAGTGGCTGCTAGAACTGAAATAAAATAATAAAACACCTTCTTCTAATAATAAATAAAAATTCGCTCCGCGGGGGCGCAGAGCAAGATTAAAGAAATAAAACGGCGGGGTCGCGGGACGAAATCACGCTAATTAGCGGGGGCGTGCGGCGAAGTTTTGTTCATAAAATTTCACCCCGCGTCCCCGCGAATTACCGGTTTTTCGTCCCGCGACCCCGCCAAGCGAAAAGTCAATAATAAACATGTTAAATTTGCGGGGGGCGCAGAGCGAAAACACGCTAATTAGCTCCGCGCCCCGTCGTTGTATTTCTTTAATCTCTTGTTTATTAAACTTCGCCCCGCGCCCCCGCTAATTAGCGTGTTTTCGCCCCGCCCCCGCCATTTTAACTTGTTAATTCTCGACTTTCCGCTTGGCGGAGTTGCAGGGCGAAAACACGAATGGCACAGTCAGCCACCATGACTATCGGCCTCTCGATTCATATTCTACTAAATAATAAAATATAACATAATGCTAATGTGTTTTGTTTTGTTGTAAAAGGTGGTGTAATAAAGCATTCGGAACTACCTCGGCTATTATCTATAATAACCACGGAAACAATACGGATTGAAAGTAGTTCTACAACGTGTTTTCAGATGTAAACAGAAACAGAGATAATGTAAAACGAATGTATATATTTGACATCCAATGCCTGTTCCGGTACTCTTGTCTGACAACAATTTGTAATTTAAATATGCCCACTGATGTTCAATTTTAAACAAATCCGACTAAATGTCAACTGGTTGGTTTTTTGTACTTTCGGTTTCTACATCCATAATAATAAATATATAAATAATGAATTGTTTGCTTTTGTACCTATGAATTCACTTATTTTAGGTGGACTTTTACTACATATATTGGAAATAGACTTGTCAACAACTCCCAGCAATGAATTACTATTTGTTTACATGTTTAGTTTCTTAGCGTAGGTTAGACCGAAATACCGCATCCGTTCTGTGTATTCATACTATTGTGTTCGAGGTCCTTATCCGAAGCCTGACGGAATGGGCCGAGTAGTTGCGATTGGTAATAAAATTAACATAACTTTTGAAGAGCCAAATGGGACACAATAAAAAAAGTGCATGATATTCTCCCAGACTGATAATTATCTATTCATTTCTGTCACTTTTTACCGTTATGTTAAAGGAACAGTGTAGCGGATACAAGCTATGCTGACGAAAATCGTTTAAAAGTTGATATCGTCGAAAAAAACTGAGACAAATATGATGTATTTAAACAAAAATAAGAAAACTGACATGTCGAAGATCAATAAGGAAACAGATTCCTCTCGTTACAAGTTTAAATATTTAGATGACAATCGTAAAGTTTACCATGCAGAATATAGAACTTTCGGCAACCACAAGCATATATTCAGTGGAAGTTGTGAAGGACAACAAGCACTCACGATAGAGAAAAATGTTGATATGATGTCAGACATATATGAAGCTACAGGAAGAAGTACAACTATGTACATGTACAAGACGAGAGTATTGCTTATCCATGGACAGCTTGTCAAACAACGTGTAAGTTATATGGACGTTATATTGACGTTATATGGACGGTCTGTGTACTTTGTTTTATATTTGTATATATAAAATATACTCTGCAAACATTGATACGCTGATGTTTTTATTTTGATTTGCAACTTCATTAAATATATTCTTTGATTTGTAAATCAATCAAGACATTGTCGAAGATTGTTGCGTATTCAATACTAATGATAACTAGTATACAACTTTAGTATCAGTTTCAATTTAAAGTAACTATCCTGTGAATACTGTCAAGAATTGTTGATAACTTTATTTAAAAAACGCAAGGCACTGAATACTTCTCAATATAATAGCATTAAGGCAGACGCGCTGGTAAATGTTAATATCAATTTAATAAAATTTAGGTAAACGCACTGGTAAATGTGAATATCAATTTTATTACATTTAGGCGGGTGCACTGGTATATGTTAATATCAATTTTATAACATTTATGCAGACGCACTGGTAAATGTTAATATCAATTTTATAACATTTAGGCGGATGCACTGGTAAATATAATAGGCAAAGATGAAAAATCCTTCGACAGCGGCGATATTTCAAGATCGTTTCTAGAAGCTGGGGGCCAGCTATTACTGCAGGTAATGTACCTCTTAATAGCAATGTTAAACATATAAATTCATGTAATACACACATTTTTAATTCTATTTTAAACATATCATAAACTATTTTATGTTATATTTTTGTGCTTAACAAGAAACAGATTTGAGTATTTTGTGCAAATTTAGTAGAGTTATGCCCCCTGATGAAGCGGGGAAAACAGGATTTTTAGAAATGTATTGCGTTTAGCTCTTAGAGTATACCTACCATTACTATGAAAGAATCAAAGAATCGCTGTCAGTATATGAACTTACCAAACCTTGGTATTGTAGTGCAACTGTATTGGAAATCAGCATACATGTAGTTATGGCCCTTGGGCAAAAAGTCACAATTTTATAATTGTTTCATGTGTAACTGCGAGCCAGGGAACTTTCTAAGAATAGTTGTCATGACGTGACTTTAAGCACCTCGGCTATTCACCGAAAATTTTGTTATTAAGAATAATTATAGTTAAAACTTTTGTCTTGTGGAAGCCAAAATTATTACTGCTATATTTATTTGCATCAATAATTGTTCATGATTTTGTTTTTTATGTTTTTTCACAATACATTGAAATATAGAGGCGTCCGTGACTTCTGGACAGATTTCTAGCATCATGTGTTTTGCAGATGTATCAAGAAATAGATAAATCATCGTGTGGTAGCGTTGTAGTGACGAGTTCATCCGGACAGCTCCTAAATAAATGTTCCGCTGTTTTCCACGTCAAGGTGATGGAAAGTGTCCGAATGAAAAAGGTGAGAATAAGAAAATTTATCAGGTGGGAATTTTGTAGTCTTACCAAAAACAAAATATTTTTTTTCTATAAATACAAAAACTTGATACCAATTATATTGGAAACAGATTTTTGTGTGTCGTAAGATTTAAAACATATTCGTTTTGTATTTTTAACATGATGTTACGTTGTAAGATAATAATGGATAACATGTTTATTTCAATTTTTTAATGTTATGATATAGTCGAGATATGCCAAATTAATTTTATTTTGGATACGGTCTATATAATGTTTCAGATGATGCATCAGGTCATTGCCGAGATATTTACAGAATGTTGTGCCTGGAACTATAATTCACTTGCGTTACCTCCACTTTGTAACAACTCACCCAGTCCTGATCTAGCCAAAACTATGCTCACAGAAATAAATCAACATTTGAAATCTGGAAGCAATCAATTGAAGGTAAATACTTATAATCTCTTTATATAATAATATACATGTGTTTAGATTCAGATTCCATCAACATAATTAAAGTACAAAATGAACATAGTCAATATAAGAATGCCATTTTTCTAGTAGGTAATTAAGTTTCACAGTCACTATTAGAAGAATACCATGTTTATTTCTGGCACGAACGGGTACATAAGTAGAATCGCCGACGCTCCGTCTGGACAGCTTCCTAATATGATTGGATCCAAAGTCAATTTAGGGTTTTAAACACTGGGCGGTAAGGGACAAGTAATTTGAAGTTAGAGACTGTATAACCACTCAGTAATGGGTGTCCCTGGAAAACCAAGTAACCTCTAGGTAGCAACGTGTTTTTAAAGAGGTTATTTATTGATGCATGTCTTTCCTGGTATTGAAAAGAAAACATCTTTTTGTCAAGACAATGGACAAATAAACATTTTAGCCTGCCATTACGCATTTAAAACATACGCAATTGTTCTACAATAGTCTGCTAATTTAAACAACTTGTATTTCAATATAATCAAAAATTATATTCACATATATTATAGGAAATCTTCCTGCTAGTGAATGATGACGAAACATATTCCGTTTTTGAAGACGCTTGCAGAACGCTTTCATTTATCCCTGTGTGTAATGCTATGAATAAGAATCAACAATGTATGTTGAACCGACAAGAATCGGAAATGATTAGTAAGTTCAATCAACTTTACCATATCAGCAGTCGAGGTCAGTGGCATCTTCGTGGTTTTTTTAAAGAGGCACATTTATTTTGCTTAAAAAAGCAAAAAATTCTTTATGAAACATGAAATTTTTGTAGTGTAGTCCATTTGTACATCCCCCTTTTTTTGAAATCTAAAAACAAAACATCATACCTAAATTTGGAAAACTCCGAATCAAATTTTAAAATACACATTTAAGAAAAAGTATTTTTTAAGAAAATTTGCTTTTTTAATTGCAAAATATTTCATTAAAATACATTTATTAAAATCGTTTTATAGAAATGAAAAAATTTAAAATAGATAGATACAAACAATTTTTATTTTTATAGATTTTTTAAAAATCAACCCTTTTTCTACAGTGAAATCCGCCAGACTTTTGTTTGAACACTATCAATGACAATCCGTCTTAAATTTACCTAAAATTAAAAAAAAAAGAAAGCACAACAAAGGCAGAATGAAAATATTCAGGATGAAAAAGAGTGGTTTTAAACTAAACTTTTATGATGGGAATTAACCAGACCTTTAAAGGGGGAAAACTGGGATGTACATGAACATTATGGCATACAAGGGTTATCTCCCTTTTAATAAACTGACAAGATTTGTCTTAATTCATTCGTACTCAGTAAGTTATATTAACTTAGATATCTTTAAGAATTCGGTGATATACGAGCTTGTAATATTATAGAGTATGTGATGATCGGTGATCTACGAGCATGTAATATTGTACAGTATGTGATGATCGGTGATCTACGAGCTTGTAATATTGTACAGTATGTGATGATCGGTGATCTACGAGCTTGTAATATTGTAAAGTATGTGATGATCGGTGATATACGAGCTTGTAATATTGTACAGTATGTGATGATTGGTGAGATACGAGCTTGTAATATTTTAGATCATGTGATGATCGGTGATCTACGAGCTTGTAATATTGTAGAGTATGTGATGATCGGTGATCTACGAGCTTGTAATATTGTAGAGTATGTGATGATCGGTGATCTACGAGCTTGTAATATTGTAGAGTATGTGATGATCGGTGATCTACGAGCTTGTAATATTGTACAGTATATGATGATCGGTGATCTACGAGCTTGTAATATTGTAAATCATGTGATGATCGGTGATATACGAGCTTGTAATATTGTACAGTAGATGATGATTGGTGATATACGAGCTTGTAATATTTTAGATCATGTGATGATCGGTGATCTACGAGCTTGTAATATTGTAGAGTATGTGATGATCGTTGATCTACGAGCTTGTAATATTGTAGATCATGTGATGATCGGTGATCTACGAGCTTGTAATATTGTAGATCATGTGACAATTGATGATCTAGGAGCTTGCAATATTGTAGAGTATGTGATGATCGGTGATCTACGAGTTTGTAATATTGTAGAGTATATTATGATCGGTGATCTACGAGCTTGTAATATTGTACAGTATGTGATGATCGGTGATATACGAGCTTGTAATATTGTAGAGTATGTGATGATCGGTGATATACGAGCTTGTAATATTGTACAGTATATGATGATCGGTGATATACGAGCTTTGTAATATTGTAGAGTATGTGATGATCGGTGATATACGAGCTTGTAATATTGTAAAGTATGTGATGATCGGTGATATACGAGCTTGTAATATTGTAGAGTATGTGATGATCGGTGATATACGAGCTTGTAATATTGTAAAGTATGTGATGATCGGTGATATACGAGCTTGTAATATTGTAAAGTATGTGATGATTGGTGACATACGAGCTTGTAATATTGTACAGTATATGATGATCGGTGATATACGAGCTTGTAATATCATAGAGTATGTGATGATCGTTGATCTACGAGCTTGTAATATTGTATAGTATATTATGATTGTTAATCTACGAGCTTGTAATGTTGTAAAGTATGTGATGATCGGTGATCTACGAGCTTGTAATATTGTAGAGTATGTGATGATCAGTGATCTACGAGCTTGTAATATTGTAAAGTATATGATGATCGGTGATCTACGAGCTTGTTATATTGTAAATCATGTGATGATCGGTGATCTACGAGCTTGCAATATTGTAGATCATGTGATGATCGGTGATCTACGAGCTTGTAATATTGTAGAGTATGTGATGATCGGTGATCTACGAGCTTGTAATATTGTAGAGTATATGATGATCGGTGATCTACGAGCTTGTAATATTGTAGAGTATGTGATGATCGGTGATCTACGAGCTTGTAATATTGTAGAGTATATGATGATCGGTGATCTACGAGCTTGTAATATTGTAGAGTATATGATGATCGGTGATCTACGAGCTTGTAATATTGTAGATCATGTGATGATCGGTGATCTACGAGCTTGTAATTGTAGAGTATGTGATGATCGGTGATCTACGAGTTTGTAATAATATAGAGTAAGTGATGATCGGTGATCTACGAGCTTGTAATATTGTATAGTATAGGATGATCGGTGATCTACGAGCTTGTAATATTGTAGAGTATAGGATGATCGGTGATATACGAGCTTGTAATGCCCCGGTCACATATTCACGGATAATGCCACGGAAGAGCTACGGTCTAATCGTTCACGGATTACTACGGAAATGTGAAATTTCGTAGTCCGCTACGGTTCCAGTACGGACACACAACGGTATGAGTACGGAGTCCGACGGATTTACCACCAAAAGCCCCCGGAGAGACACGGATTGTTACGGGTCGACACGGTTTGATACGGAGCGACACGAATCAGGACGGAGCGCACTACGGATACACTACGGTCTGCTACGGTATAAGCACAGGGGTTTAGTACGAATAAGTACGGTCTGATACGGAGAAGAACGTATTGATACGGAGAAGAACGAAATTGCCAACGGATCTATACGGACCTAATACATCCGTCTACAACCTCTTGCTTGCTCATTTTCAAAATGCCTTAAAAGAAAAGAAGACCTAGAAAACGAATTGCAGAGTTCATTGATTTTGGCGGAGAGGACTCGGCCTAATCGCGTCTGACCCCCCGAGACACATCAGGTCCGATTAAAGTGAATTTCTTGAAGGACGCTGGATCCTCAACAAAGTTCGGCCACGAGAGCCTCATACTAAACTTGAAGCGGTCTTCGTAAAAGCCCATATCTAGTCCACCATCTCGTCTGTCTTCTCTTACCTGATTAGATATGGACTAGTAATCATTAAAGAAAAATGTTGATCAACACTGCTTCTCTTTTAATTTTAAGATTTGCTGTTCATCTTACAATTACATTAATTATCATGATGTTTATGTTTTAAAAATATGTAAAAAGCTTGTTAATTAATCTTATTATCACTCAAGGGCCAGCCTCCGAGGCTTATGAAACACTTCGTTTTATGTACATATTTACTCTTATTTCACGATCCAATGTTTGTAAAATATGTAACATTAAATGTTATTCTATTACTTGAATTGTAGTACGATATTAATATAAATTTACTTCTATGTATGTCATCAAGCAGCTCGACCACTGCCTCCGCATTCTGAGCCATTTCAATATATAGTTGCAGCCAGTAAATGGCAATTATCATTTATTAAATGTTTCCGCAAATATGTCTGTTTGTTAACAAGAAGGTAGTATTTATACCCTTGAAAAAGTACATGATACTTAATTCATCCGTACTAAACAGTGGTGGACCGTACCATTCCGTACCGTTTCGTTTTGCAACGCAATAAACCGTATAAGACCGTGCTAATCCTTGCCTCTCCGTAGTACAACGTATTACGATCGTGGCTTTCCGTGACAATGCCGTATTAATCCGTATTAAAACCGTAGCTTATACGTAGGGTAACCGTACAAATACGTAGTTCTCCGTACAAAACCGTGGAAATCCTTGACAAGTTGGTGGACTACGAATCAGTACGGACTAGTACGGTTTTCGTACGGACCAGTACGTATCAGTACGGATTAATACGGACTAGTACGGATACGCTACGGTTGAGTTTTCCGTAGCAAATTTTTGTGCATGTTCAAAAATTGTCAAGGATCGCTACGGATATACAAGGACTACTACGATTGATTACGGTTACAATACGGAGAGCTACTGACCAGTACGGGTAGCTACGGACGATGCCGGAATTAATCCGTGGCTCTTCCGTGGGCGTATTCCGTGAATATGTGACCGGGGTATAATATTGTAGATTATGTGATGATCGGAGTTACACCTGCAATCATTTAACTTATAAATCCGCATTTTTTACAGAAGCTGTTCAGCCAGTACCGAATCCGGCAATAACTGTAACAGCAGAAAGCAAACTTGTTTGTACTTCGGCAAAAGACAATTTTGAGTCTTGTTTGAAAAACGAATGTCTACATGAGAAAATAATTGACAAGGATGACGATCTGTCTACATACGCTAAAGAAAAGATCAAAACTATTGCATCTTTAAACGATATTGAATGCATTGAAGGTTACTAACATAGTTTGTGTATTATGATAGATGTTCTTAATAGATGCAGTTGTATTTACTTACTTCATAGTAGGATTTTATAAAGTACGTCTTTATGTATATAATTAAATAACTAAATTAGTATTTATATTATGAGTAATTATCAAATCAGTTGTAATTTAATTAACACAGAGAGAAAATATATACGTTTAGCGAAATTATCAAATATAAGTGTAAAGCTCATACTGCTCTATCTCAACATAAAATTATTTTATTGCAACTTTTTTATGTTTCAGAGGACACATATTTCTTACTTAGAGGCCACGAAGGAACGGTACAAAATGTGTATTGTGACATAAAGAAAGCACTTATTGAAGAAAAAAGCACATGTAATGTGCGGCCTGTAAGTCATGATATTAATAGAAACACACGCACATTTGTTGAATCAATGCTTGACTGTGAACCACAAACTCCAAACTACTGGAAGAATTACAAACAAGGACACACAGTTACCTCTTTGCTAGTTTCAACTAGGCGTGTCGCATCAAAGAAAAGGTTTGAACTTCAGCAACTAAAGAAAGGCTCTCGTGCGTTTTCTACTATTGTTAGAATGATAAATGCAACATTTGACAGCGATTTGCTGGGAGTAGGAAAGGACGCAAAAGGTCTGGAGGACTTCACATACAAGAAATTATTTGTACATAAAGTTGAAAGAGTAGAAAACCTTGACCTTTATGAACAATTTTTCAGAAAAAGACAAACACTGTACAGGCGTCTGTACAAAGCGGGTCAGGTGACATTCCCAAAGTTAGAAGATAAACGTAAATGTTCAGGTCCTGTATTAACTGCTAGTTTCGTACATCCTTCTCTAGATCAAGACATTCATTCTGGTTTAAATGAGTACTTACTTTTTCATGGTACAAAATTTGAAAATGTTGACACCATTTGCAGCGACGGACTTGACCCAAGGATAAGCAATGGTGATTGTATGTTTGGCCGTGGAATATATGCAGCTGAATGTGCTACAAAAGCAGACCAATACGTCGGTAAGAATTATAAGTTATCTTAAACAATGTGGCCATTTAACATGACCTTTATCTTGTAATAAATATAAAAAAGTCGGCCATGTAGCATATTTAAATGAAAAATTTTAATCAGTCATATAAATTATTTAGTAATCGAGAAGTTAACATACATGTCTATTAAACAAATATATACCGGTAAAAATATTGATAAATTTTATATTGATAGCATGTCACAAATTACTCTGAATTAAAACTAACACCGTTTATTTTTATTTTTCCATTAGATGATATACACAGTCGTTCTGCTGGACGTGGTAACAAAAAAACTATGTTACTTACACGTATGATCCTTGGCAACTGCCATGTCTGCTATCAGAATAAACCACAGAAATTTCGGAGACCACCTTGTACCACTTGTCTTCAAGATGACTGCCGTGATATGCGACATGTTGATAAATTTGGTCATTCCTATGATTCTGTAGTGGCTGACAACCGGAAGTTGTTTCGAGAGTTTGTTGTTTACGATAGTTGTTTATGCTATCCAGAATACTTGATTACTTACGAAAGACGTTAATGAGTCCATCGTGGGATACCCACGGCCGAATCATTAAATCAACAGTGGGTATCCGACGATGTAATTAGTCACTAGAAGTTAGTCATTTATAACAACTGTGTATTTGTTTCACCGAGGAGAAGAAATTGTTCAGACAGAAGTTTTGTTAACTTTCCATAGAATTGAAAATGTCTGAAAATTTCAGAAAAAAATTGAACCAAATACTTCTCTTGTTTGCAAAATAAGAAATAGGACAATGCTTGCTATATTTGTACGTACAATTTTCTCTTGAGTACCGCTCAAGCCGGTGCTAGGGGGCGTGAGGGATGTTGCACTTATTCATTATCCCTCATGTACAGACTCAGTCAAACCGAGTCTGCAATTCTTATGTTATTTTGTTGTGATTGATGCTTCCGAGGGATCGCTTTGTTTCCAGAATTTTCTACTTTTATCGAGACAAAAAAAACAACATTCAGGCTTAAATGTTCAATATTACTATGTATTGCTTGAAATACGTTTCTTGTTACAAAATATAAAAGAAATGACAATTCTTACAATGTTTTCTTTGACTTTGATGGTGAGTACTTTCATATTCAAACATATTTGGCCAATGATAAAAGTACATACATACTTACATAAATCCGTACCTCAAGAAAGTATATATATAAGTTGCCATATTTTAACATTAGATTTAAGGAGAAAGTAAGATTGTTTTACAATTAATTGATAAAGGAACACTGAATTATTTAACAGTGGTTGAATTATCCAGGAACACTGAGTTATTTAAGTATAGGTTAAAGTTGATAAGTACGTATCACAAAATTGAATTGGTCAGGCGCAGCGCAGTGACCGAGAAACTCAAAGTGTTTAACAGTGGCTGACATGATCAAGAAAAACTGATTTAACAGCTTTTTAATAATTCACTAAACTATTTATACTTCCTGCTTGCTTGTTATTGGCAGGTTACAACTATATTCCAACTTTGGCTCTATTTTTGCTTCCGTTTATAAATTCGTTAGATATAGATAACGATTCAAAATACACAATCTACAAATTAACTTTTAAATGAGCCTCAAAAATAGCTCTTAACTATTGTTTTAAATAAATAAACAACTTCTGTTGCGACAGACTATACTAATGTTCAAGGATTCCCATTAGTACGGTTTCCCGTTAGGGTCATCGCGACAAACACTTAACTTGGAACAATGAAAATACGAAAGTACGAAATAAAGATAGTGAACAATCTAAATAAATAAACCACATTATGAAAACTCGATATGTGTTTATGTTTTCCTCATCGTACTTCCGACCTTTCACCATCGTGATTTCGTTGTTTCATTATTGAGACTTTTCATAATCATACTTCTCACTTTTCATCATCGTGATTCGGTGTCTCGGCAAGGACAATGAACATGAAATAACGATGATAAAATGTCGTAATATTGTGAAAACGTAAAATTATTTTGAGTTTTCACCATCGTGGTTACGTTATTTCGACGTTTTACCATCGTGATATCATGTTTTTTGTTTCGAGTTATGTATTGGTCGAGATGGCTCTAACGGGACACCGTATAATATTGACACTATAGGAATAGCCGCTATCGATTACTCTTTCCCACTGCAAAAACAACAACAAAACAATACATAATATCGCGCTTTGTCTTTGGAGTGTGACAAATGTAATTATTTATATGAATACTTTTTGCAACATTAAATATGGCTTTCCTAAGAATCCAGAGACGCGTTGTAATTATAATTGTGCATGTGAATATAACAATAGCCTTCTCAATTGTTTTCTTATCATGTCTTATTTGTTAAAAATTTTTGATACTAAATTACGAGTTCAGTAAGAATGCAATATTGTACAATGTGAGCCATATGCAGACTATTAAATCCTGTAAGTAATAGAAAGAGCACCGAAACACGAGGCTATCTGATTTGTACGAGGGGGCGTAGCCCCCGAGTATTAATCAGATTGCCGAGTGTTTTGGTGTTCTTTCTCTTTTGTATCATAGTCAAACATAAAAGCACGTTCCCTGTTGTCACAATATGAAACCCCGCCAAAAATGAACCAATGAACGAACATCTGAATATGACATTTCTGTCGCTTTCCCTTAATATGTAAACCCCAGCAAAAATGAGCCAATCAATGGGCATGTTCTGGAGTGCGGGTAACTAATACCCGCACTCCAGTTAACGCACTGTGCATGTATATGTATACGATTTAACCCTGACACATTTTCAACAGAAAGGTCTCCAAACTATGATACAATGAATCATTATTTCGTTTCCGACAAGATCATTCAACTGTAGAGCTGTCCTATGACCATTATTATAGTTAACGTAATTCTTGACTAATCCACAATTTGGCATAAATTATAAATGCTAAAATACTTAATAAAGGCCTAATAATATGATAATTAATAACTTAATTTTAATATCATTTTCTTTGTTGTATCTTTTTATATTTTTATTTATCATTCTATTGCATTAATTTAAATAAATATCAATTCGATTTTCAATTTTTGCGAGTTCATGCTATTCAAATGCATTGTTGAAAGTGACACCGGGGGAAAGTTGTAAGAAGCGCTATCAATATACTCCTTACACTAAAATACACACAATTTGTACATCACTATATTTATACTTGTGTGTAATTATTTTGGACATAGCAAAGTGTTTGGTTAAATAAAATAAAACATATGGCTCAGATTTTTTATAGAAAATGAAGAAAACACATATTTGCTCTTTTTTTATATAAGTCTTAATTTGGAGTAAATATTACAATTATATAAAATAAGAAAAAAATAAGTGAGCATTGAGTACAGTTTTCTAATATTTTGCCGGTCCTGATTGGGGTTTTGAAAGCATAATATTTATGTACTAGATCTTTTACAAACTAAATCATTACTCATTTATATCTGTTCTGCATTTCATAGCGTCAAAGCTAAGAGGAAGAGGAGTGTTAGCTTTGTAAGGTTAAAATCCTGTGGAAAAGGCATTTTGTTCTTGGTGAATTTCATACACACAAATACATTTAAAAACATTCAAGTCGCACAGAGTAAAAGTCAACATAGGCGACTATGGTACAAATTGAATGGATAAACAGCAACCGGAGAAAATAGATGTACACAAATTACTTTAATGTTCCGAAGTTGTTAACACTGTGGCTAATGAAAATTCGGAGCTTCAAACAGAATTTAAATATTATATAAATACGTTTAATGACTTTTGAAAATTCAAATACATCAAATTTTCAGTTTACCTTCGGCTGTGCAAAACAAGAAATTGCATGAATAACAGACACAGTACACAGACGCATGATAAGAAAAAAGAAAATAATGTGCACATTTGCAGATTCGAACTTCAAATATCCTTTAGATCTACTGATCTACAACGCTAGATGGGTCCAAGCGTCCATAACTATTTTTATTGTGTTGCAATAGTCAAATAACTAAGTAACTTGAAAAACCGATTATACTAGTATCATAATTTTACACACCTCCTCTATTGTTTGTGACAGGTCTATATTTTTTGGATAGACCTGTATAAACAAAAGAATGTCCGTTATGAGGTCTATCTTTTGCACGTGCACAGATCTGTTCTAGTTAGACAGAACCAGTCATGAAATACAATGAAAAAATAGACCTGCCAACGCGCAGACAAAGAAAACATGAATTGCAATCAAAGAATAAAAAATTGAAATAAAATGTAAATGATTGTCAAAATGTTCTTGTCTTACAAAATCGGGATGCATTTTTTAAACAAGATAATGTTTATTGAATGCACTTAGCAATTATTCCAGCATCCCTGTATTAAATATTTGAATAAATATGATGGATAGCGTATCAAAGATAGGCCACATTTATAATATATTTATTTATTGATGTCTTTAAGTTCACAATTTAACAGAATGGACGCTTCAAATTTATATCTATAAAACTAAAGCAGTAATCACAGCATGCTTATTACGATTTAAAAAAAAATGTTAATAAAGTTATAAGTGATTTAGTTTAACAAATATGATGAACGATCATATTATATTCTAGAATATTTTATAATCTGCTATATAAAATATAGTTTCAGTTCAGGTATCTCACACTTGCCAACAATGTACATATGTAAGTCTTTCGTGGTCTGCTGGGTATCCACACATTGCACTTCGGACAGTTGCCCCCTCGGAAGTTTGCCCCCTTTTTGCGGTGGCGGTCATTTGCCCCCTCATATCTTTGGAAGGGGCGGACATTCGCTCCCCACCTCCCTGTTTCAAAAATGTTAAAATATTTTATTGTTGAATTGTTTGCTGCCAAAATTCATCGCCTATTGTCGAAATTTCAATTGTAATTAAATGCACAAAAAATCTCGCGCAAATTTGTGAAAGTCAAAATGGCATCAATAAATAAATGAACTATAATGTTTCCATTGGCATAAAACAATTATACAAGAGATGTCAAGTGGCAAGTCACAACAGCAAAAAATGGGGCAAATGTCCTAGAATCTGCATTGTCTGATACGAAATACTATCAGTTAAAATACATCAAAACAACACATATTTCTTTAATCTTTACTATATTTTAGACTGTTGTCTTCATCAGAATCTCTCTCGGTGTCACGACCAGGTCTTTCCTAATGCCCCGGTCACATATTCACGGATAATGCCACGGAATCCCTACGGTCTAATCGTTCACGGATTACTACGGAAATGTGGAATTTCGTAGTCCGCTGCGGTTCCAGTACGGGCACACAACGGTATAAGTACGGAGTCCGACGGATTTACCACCAAAAGCCCCCGGTGAGACACGGATTGTCACGGTCCGACACGGTTTAATACGGAGCGACACGAATCAGGACAGACGCACTACGGATACACTACGGTCTGCTACGGTATAAGCACGGGTTAGTATGAATAAGTACGGTCTGATACGGAGAAGAACGAATTGATACGGAGAAGAACGAATTGCCACGGATCTATACGGACCTAATACATCCGTCCACAACCTATTACATGCTCATTTTTAAAATGCCTCAAAGAAAAGAACACATGGAAAATGAATTGCAGAGTTGAAGGATTTTGGCGGAGAGGATTCGGCCTGATCGCGTCCGACCCCCGAGACACATCAGGTCCGATTTAAGTGAATTTCTTCCTCTACAATTTCGGCCGTGAGAGCCTCATAATAAACATTAAGGGGTCTTCGTAAAAGCTCATCTCTAGTCCATCATCTCGTCTGTCTTCTCTTACCTGATTAGATATGGACTAGTAATCATTAAAGAAAAATGTTGATCAATACTGCTTCTCTAATAATTTAAAATTTGCTGTTCATTTTGCAATTACATTAATTATCGTGAATGTTTATGTTTTAAAAATATGTAAAAAGCTTGTTAATTAATCTTCTTATCACTCAAGGGCCAGTGTCCAAGGCTTATGAGAAACTTCGTTTTATGTACATATTTACTCAAATTTCACGATCCAATGTTTGTAAAATGTTATAATTCTATTACTTATGAATTGTAGTACGATATTAATATATTTTACCTCTATGCATGTCATCAAGCAGTTCGGCCACTGCCTCCGGATTCTGAGCCATTTCAATATAAAGTTGCAGCCAGTAAATGGCAATTATCATTTATTGAATGTTCCCGCAAATGAGTTTTTAACAAGAAGGTAGTGCCCTTGAAAAAGTACATGATACCTAATTCATCGGGGACCGTACAATTCCGTACCGTTCCGTTTTGCAACGCAATAAACCGTATAAGACCGTGCTAATCCCTGCCTCTCCGTAGTACAACGTATTACGGTCGTGACTTTCCGTGACAATGCCGTATTAATCCGTATTAAAACCGTAGCTTATAAGTAGGGTAACCGTACAAATACGTAGTTCTCCGTACCAAACCG